TTCCCTATCCCTCTCTTTTGCTTTTTCTACTTCGATGCGAGATCCTCGTACTCCCTCTCTCTTCTGTATCTCCCTCTCGCGGGATTCACGGTACCGCCGACAAGCACGAGGGCGCACACGCGAGTTTGCTTGTTTTGAAATATCACGCGACAACCGGGACGAGAGTGTCGCCAATCGTACGACGTTTTCGCGGGAAACAGCTACGCTCTTGCATACACGTGCCTCTTCTTATGTCATGGAAACAAAATAAACGCGTACGAACTCGGCGTTAACGAAGATTGGACTCACTGTGTCTCTCTATCGGCACGATACTGGCATGGCATGCAGCCATGCGCACTTCAGTGTCACTGTCACGATTGTTGTCACTTGACACGGTTAGATCTCGTTCGAATATTCACACTGCGCTCGAGAAAATTCTCCACGACTACCGAATTCGTATAAGCGCGGCAGTGACGAGCATCCGGTTTACGCAAGAAGGCGTAGGCGACGTGAGAGGACGAGAGTGTTCCACAGTCCAGCAAGGGCAGCTGGAAACTCTCGTTAAAGTCTGGTAATCTCTCTGTCACGCGTTCTGAAACGACGACGTCGTCGTCGTCGTGATCGGACACCGGCGTGCACGACCGCCACTTAGAGCAGTCTAAGTCCGTACTAAGCGAAATGCGGTGCCACATTTCTTTCGTGGCCTGCCTTCTGCGCCGGCCATAGTTGACGGCCCCCCTCCAACGGCGCCACTCGCCGAGATCGGAGCTGCACAAACATTCAGGACCGTAATTCCACGAGCACGCTTGAATGGACTTCGTTTGATCGAGAAAATTTACGATTCTACATTTTTTTGTAATAACAATTCAGAAAGATAAAATAACGCGTAATTTAAGTTGCAAAGACAATTTCCTGTCTCAATAAATAAATTAAATACGATATAATATTTTATATATACATTTGCTATATCGCTATTTACAAATTTTTACCTGACGATCAAATTTCGTATTCGATATTTTTATACAGTTATACGTATCACTTTTCTTTTACGTAAGCATAAAATTCAAAAATTATTTACTCGTTAAATACATCGTCGCGGAAAATCTCATTCTAATTTCATTTACTGTACGAAATATCGATATTCCTTAAATCTTTTGTTAACGTTATCACAAATCAACCTCGCGGAAATCTTTAAACAAATGAATTCGTCGTAAGAAACTTATCGTATATCCCGATTTTCGCGGTAGAACGGTACGTCACTGTAGGTACCGGTGGACGTCGGAACCGAAAGGAGCCGAGTTCGGCCGAAGTGATCGGAACTCGTTCGTGATTGGCCGAATCGGCGTGGCGTTCTACGTTGCTAGGATACGGCGATGTGCCAACGCAAGGGGTGCAGGGGGCACGACGCAGGACCACACACGCGGTACCATTTCCCCTCGAGCAAAAACATTACCCACACATGGGAGTGACTACGTGACACGTACGAGGCACACAACGCCGCTTACAGATCGCCGCAGCATCTCCTTCTTTCTTCTCCGACTTCTCTCTCGATGCTCTCTCCTCGTCATTGCTTCTACACGGTCTTCAGAAGTTTTGTATACGCTTGTTGCATTCTGTGTTAGTAGAGAAGGTCCGAACGATTCATGAAGCGCAGTGAACGCGGTCGACGTGCGGTGGAGAGTTGAAGACGAGCGGAAGAGGGCCACCGATGTACCGAACGTAAACACGACTCCCTTACGGGCCTCTGGAGATCGGAATCGCTGCTGCTCTGGGCAATATTAATCGGGACCGGAAATACAGTAGTTTACTGCTTCACCAGCCACCGTCTCTTCGCCACCGCCACTGAAGCAAATCTGCATAATTGATTATACGCGTCTCCCCTGCCACTGGTTATGATTTGATTGGCGGCTGCAACTATAGGGTTCGACTGCATTCTCTCTTATTATTATTGTTATCTGCTGCGCGTATAATCGAATCAAACGTTTCTTGCGAACGATGCGTAAGGTTTTAACAATTCCTTTGCTCGCGTCCTATCGTACTTCCACGAGCCAATCGTAAGCAAGCGAGGTCCTTATTTGCTCGATATATATAACGAAACACATTTGTCAAACGTCTCGATATATTTTCGAGAACAATAACGTATTCGCTACGAAACTGAAACGCTAATATCCTACGCACAGACGAGAAAGGAGCAACTGTTTTGAATGCGTTCATTAAGCCACGGGGAAGAACGTTACACCGGACGATTAACTTATTAACCTGTCTTCATAATATCTGCATAACGATGCGACTTCATTAGGCGTCGTACACCACTCCCGTGCGCGGACTTGCGCGTGTGCGTGCACGCCTGTTGCTTACACGCGTCTGTGTGCACGCTCAAACGTTCATTGGGCAGTCTCACACGCGCTCAAGATTCCTGCACACGCGTAGATGGCGCGCGTGTAGTGAAGAGCCAGTGTGAAAAGAAGGACAGAGTAACCGAGCCACGAGAGCGAGAAAGAGGAGGCGAACGGAGAAAATTAAATAAGAGGGAGAAGGAGAGAGCGAAACAAACTGGCAGATCGAAAAAGGTAATGTATAAATACGCGACCACCCACTGCGATACCGAGCCCGACACCCTGTTCCACCAAATACGAGACAATTTTCGATTCTGATACGGACAGTCGTTGCATTTTTATTTTGCTCATTTAATTCCAGAGACCTTGTGGCAGTTTTCATTGACTGTCTCGAACCTTCCGAGGGGAGATTGACGTAACTGTGGTATCAGATTTTAAGGTTAGCATCGCTCGCAAAGATACGAACGTTTCTAGGTTAAAAAACACAAATTTAGAGTGATATCGAAATTAAATAGAAAGTATCGAGTCGTGCTAGCCCGAAAGCGGTGCAAAGGAGCACCGACGTTCGTTGTTTGCGTAACATAATATCCGAGCACGATACAAGCGATGTCGCGTAGAAATAAAACGGGTGGTCGACCAGTTCTCTTCGCGTTGCGAAATTACGGCAGTGTCCATCGGAGTTTCTTACGGAAATTATACTAGCTTTTAAACGATCCACCATTACTTTCCTTTCGAGTATCGATCGTCGTAAATTAATATATCGTAAAACATTAATTAAATCTCCCTCCGGTTTCTCTCTTTTCCGTCTTAACCTATAAACAGCTCGCGCTTAGAACTGACCTCGTTGCTTCTTTTTCATTTCTGGATCCGCACGCGACAAAGGAAGGCAGACCGATCGGCGAGGTGTATTTTCTGCGAGTACAAAGTCTGAGATGCGAATCGAGGACACTAAGCAGAACGAAAGAGGAAATGTCATTGCATACTATGGAGGCGGCTTCGACGAATACACCCTACTGCAGTTGCCGATCTGGCGATAAGGCACAGCGTGCAGAGGGACCGTTAATAATTTTTACGACACTCTTAACTCGCCACCCAGTATTAAGCGGTCCTCCGTAGAAGACAAGCTTTGATCTTTGCCGACGCTGCATCGACTTAATGAGTGCGAGAGTGAGATAGCAGCCGAGCCAAGCTGAAACAGAGCTCACGACCAGTGCGCTGTAGTCGCCTGTGTGTCTATTTTCCACAATATGCACCTCTGCATTTCGGGTTGCATCCCTACAGGCTCCCTGTCTGTGCGTTCATCTACGAATTTCGTTGCCGAGGATAGTAGACTAAAAAAATATTTTTTGATTAAAACACTTTGATTTTTGTTCGTATGCTCGTACAGGATTGTCGAGCTTGGATTTGATGAGAATTAGAAAGCGATATTTTACAGTCTTCGTTGTACTTTACAATTTTATACGTTAGCCTGTTTTCTCTTTTTGAGTATAGAAACTTCTGTCTTATGTATCTAGTAAATAATCTGCACTGCATATGTATGTGTTATAACTTTTGTAGATATAGTTTTGGATATAAAAGTAGTAAGTGCAGAAACCTATGCACAAGTAAGATCGATAAAACTGCAATTGCTTCCTTTTCGAATTTAAAATTCAAGTTATCCCTGACGATGGACGTCTAATTTTTACGCGACCGATCATTGCTTCTCGTCTTACAAGTATAAAACCACGCTGAAAATCGACACCATAACAACTAATTAGCAGAGTAGCGTGTAATCGTCTCGAGGATTATCTTCATGACTCGAATACCCGTTTCTCGATCCCACAGATATTCCGGATATATCTATATTAAAAGAATTCTTCGCTCGCCACTTTATTCCGTCCTCACCTCTTATCTCTCTTACATCCTCTTCATTAGTAAACTTGAAAATCGCCGCAAACCAAAACGCGAATATATCTAATTAGAGACAGAAGAACCGATACCACCTAAACCCGTTGGCAGAACTTATTTTTCTGTTTCATTACTTCTTCATCCGTATGTATTAATTTAATAC